TGTACTTGTGGAGTCTGCGCGTTAACGAGTTACTTGTCGACACCGGGTTTGACGTATTGATCAAAATACACAAAAACTTAAGGGTCATGTGCATAATTCAGGAAGGCCTGGCACGTGACTTTATCTCGCCATGTTTACACCATCCAATTTTAGTTGGAGAGTCGACCGTTGCTTTATATTTTCTTTTAAAGCAGTTCATGAAAGGCGGGAAAGTTTCCATGTTGGTTTCAGCCGTGGCGGTGAGCGTGATTGGAGCTGGGTTTGTTAATGAGACGTTCGCCATTCGCTACGTGGCGGAGGCTAGTTCGGCGGGAAAAATTTTCAAGAGGGAGATGATGAAAAAGTATGGAATGGATAAGTATAAGAGGAGGGTTTTGCGAGCAATGTTACCGAATTGTATTAATTTGGAGTTTATTAGTTCCGTTGACACGATAAAGAATGGGATTGGGATGGATTACTTTATCAGATATGTGGAGCGGGTGGTGTCCCACACGATGAGTTTGTTATTGACTATTCAGTAATAATAAAATGTACACATTTATGAATATATGCCCACTAAAGCAGTATTGCTTCTTTTTCTCAGAAAAATTTAACTACAACACCTACGAAATAGTCATAAGTCGCATGGGCTACCGACTAACGTCCTCGGGAGAAATTCAAACAGGGAATTTCCCATATGTATGGGATATCCCTTACTACTTTTAGTAATTCTTAAGACGATTATTGTACTTGGTTAAAGATAGCTCCAATCTTAAAATACCACAGTGAGGAGAAAATATGTTTTTAATTTGTACGAAGTCTTGTCAGAAAATTTTTGTGCGCCCCTTCCATTCAGTTCTAAACCTGAAAAGTTAACTGGAAACCTCACATAACGGCATTGGACAAATCCGACCACGTGTGGGCAATAATATGTTTGTCCGAATGGGCCAGGCCCAGGAATTGGCCTGGGACCTCTCGCTATCCGGGCGAGCACCTTAATCACTGAGCTACCCACTGCTCTTTTTCCAATCAACACGCATATGATAAATATTCCCTCACATAAGTGCAATATTGATAACGGTAATTGGACAACGCCAAAGGCCCGAAATCGCAAGCGGTTGTTGACTATGAGGAAAATGTCATAAAATTGATATCTAGTTAATTCAATTAACCAATAGTTCAATTATCCCAGTGAAAAGTAGTAATGATGTGGAAGTACCAATTACATTGTGCTATCAAAAACTTTATCTAAAATTGACACTTTCATTTTGTAATGTTTTCCTTATACTGGCTCCAAAGATTTTGCCACATGACCATGTTCAATTAGTGTTATCAATATTGCAGCATTTTTGTTTGTCAGACAAGTTGATTTTATTGCGTCTCGACTAACTTCCAAGCGTTTGTTTGTCTAAATTTTTCCATAAATACAAATTGGAATCTCTTTTAGCCAGCCATCAGTATACTTAACCTTTATCGGGTTACATGTCAATAAAGTTTTTCATCGTTGCTACCGTCACCATAAATTTATCTTTTGGTGACAATGCACTTCTCCAACTATTACAAAGTAAGTCGTGGGCAAAATAAAATTTTAAACTAATGATCTGTACGTTAATTAATTCAATTACACCTAAATAAGCAGCATCTAAGGATTTTAAACTGGTTGAACCACTTCTGAACCAACTATTACAAAGTAAGTCGTGAACAAAATAATATTGCACGATTTTTAAACTAATGATTTGTACGTTAATTAACTCAATGTATACCGAAGCAGCATCTAACGACTTTAAACTGGTTACACTACTTCTGGATAAATTGAGGGAGTTTCCATTTTCAATTGACGAAGAAGAAGGGGTAACCCTTCCACCATTTCATTTCATTTTTCCATGGAGCCTCGGGTACCAGTGGGGTGTAATTGATGTTATTTCAAGGTTAGCACAGCACAAAAATAAATTTCTGATTAAAACAAAATTTCTTTTACTTAATTCAGATGAAATACTTAAGACACATGTTCATTTTCTAGAAACACGACATTGTACGGATTGCCTGAGACTGAAACGGATGCTTCCTTAAAGTTGGATTGGAATAAGTTAACTTTCCAAGGTCGCATTAACACTTCGCGATTATTGTTTCTCGGAGATCATCTAACAAACTCAAATATGATATCACCGTATTTTCTACCGCCACATGGGTACATACATTCTGGAAATGGCGACTATTTTGTTGAATTAAAAGACCTGTTTTTGTCCTTAAATTTTACCTTGAATAACCTTCTATTTGGAAAGGTATCAATTACAGATTATGAGATAGAATTTAACCAAATGTTCAGTTTTCAATGGCATTGCAAAAACGTGACGGAAATTTTTGGTGACGAACAGTATGAATTAAATGACCAATATTATGAAGTAACTTCTCAACAAATTACTAGATTAATACAATTAACGTTTTTATATGCTTGGCCTCACATTGACTGCGTGTTTAACTTCATAGCTGGGGTATGTATATAAAATTATAAAACATGACTAACAATGGAGGTCCCCCAACGTATGCTCACAGATTTGGACCAAACTAGTGTCCATCAATCACAAATTTAATTAGTATGAAATTTACAAATGGAACTATCTGCCAATGCGCAGGTTTTGCAAAGATATTTACATTTAAAAGAGGGCAAAACGCTCCCAAAGGCTGGCAAATTTTTATTTTCCAAATTTGCTGCCCATTTTTCCCGCTTTGGATGCAAATATCTTTGCAACCTGCGCATTGGCAGATAGTTCCATTTGTAAATTTCATACTAATTATATTTGTGATTGATGGACACTAGTTTGGTCTGTGAGCATACGTTGGTAGACCTCCATTGTAAGTAATTAGCTATGCATATATGATTAATTTACGTTTTTTTGTGTTCAAAGAACTGCACCTTTTTGGAGTTAATTGGTGGACAATGTAAGTTAACAATGTCGATTAAGCTTTGTTAAATTAAACTAAATATCGGTTTTTAAGTTTTCTTCATTTTCGTGTGCAGTTGACTGTTTGGATCGTGGTGGTAGGTGGACAAGCTGCTTTACGGTAAATGTTGCACGTGTTTAGGAAAACTTTTTAAAACAGCGACATTGAATTAAACATTAAAATGTGATACTTTCAGCCGGAATAAGCTTCAAACCATAATGAACGGAGGGGTTCTTGTAGTTTGAAATTCCTGTACATTTTATAAAGAGTGTTATTCTGTTTTCTGAATAGTTGAACTGAGCAATCAAGAACCTTTTTCATATTAATAAATTTCCTAGGTTTTTTATTTACACTTATCGTAATGGCGTCGTTTCCTCATGTGAAAGCGTTGATAATCCCTTCCTTATTTTGTGGGGCGTTGATCACATTATCTCGGTTATGGGCTTCTGTATTAGATTGTCCCCTTGTATTAGTGCTGGTTGTATTGAAATACCTCCTTGTCGAGTCCATCCCAGAACTTCGTTTTCCCCGTCCCGATAAATAGGGTCGTGATGGATGTTGATGATTTTGTGGATTTGTGGCGTTGGCGTCGTGATCATCATTCACCTGGCCTCCATGATTTGACCTGTCTTGTTCGTGGTTTTGACTCCTGTTTTCTTTACTCGAATTGTTGAAACTCCTTCCATTTTGTTTCCCTCGCATGGGTCTGCCTCGATTGTAATAAGTACCTCCGGATCGGTTGTTGAAGTTTCTTCCACCGCGGCCTCGATTTCTGTAACCACCTTGACCATAGTTATTTCGGTATTGATTTTGGGGGTATGGTATATTTCCTGCCATCATAGCGTAAAATTCTGATTCCACAGCTTTTCCCTCTAACTTAATTTTTGCTGCATTTATATTGTAGCAAATCCCATCCGCTAGTCTATTTTGCACATCTACTGGTGGGTTCTCGGGGTCCACTTTTCTCCACATTGGGATAGCATGGGTTGTTTTAGATTGGTAGGTTGTCCAATCAATTACATGTACTTTTTTCGATTTGGGAAATTCAATTAAAGCAATGAAATAACTTGTGGCCAAAATATATTCTATAAGATTTTGTTCGGTTTGTTCGTTTACTTGGTCGGGAAGAGTTTTTAAAAAATCTTTGATTTGCTTCACAATTTTAAGTAGGATTAGTTGTATTGTAAAAGTTGTAGCTTCCGCTGCTTCTTTTTGAATATTAAACACATATTCCTCCTTTAAGTCTGTAAGTTTTCGTAGTACTTTCTCCGGTAGGTTTTTGAAATTTGGAATGTTAAAGTTTGACTTTGGATTGAAAAGTTTTTTATTGTTGGCTTGAGCTCCTTCCACGCATTGTTTTTGTTTTACAACCCCAATAAATTTAGCAACATATCGCATATTTACACTCATTTATTTGTGCCTAAAAATTTGTCAAAATCTCAGAAAATCGGGGGTGGGATAGTCCTAGGGGTGCGATTGATAAGGGGTGGAATCTACAGGGGTGCGATTACTCGGGTGCGATTGCTCGGGGGTGGCATTATCCTCGGGGTGGCAATGGTGGGGTGCGTTAACCGGGGTGCGATTGATGGGGTGCGATTGATCGGGTGGCATCATCCGCAAATCGGGGTAGTCGGGGTTTTGAGGGCAAACTGAGTCAGTGTATTAAATTCAGAAATTAATGAAAAAAATCAGTTTTTCAGTAATTTCGCAACAAAATTGCTTATTAATTATATCGTACTAATTGTAAGTAATTAATTTGTTGAATTGCTAGTAATGCCCTGTTATCATATTTTGTAAAATTTGAAAACCCCGACTACCCATGAGTATTTCTCAAATTTGCTACCCCAAAACCCACCAAAACCCGCAATACCTCAATACCCCAAAAACCCGGGGTAGCATACCCTCTTTAATACCGGGAAATCAATACCTAGGTGACTCTACCGGATTTCTAACAGTAAATATATAAATATACGATTGCATATTTATATATTTATTACATATTTCTTAATTTATGCACATGAAATCAGCAAAATAAGTGAGTACATGGGTGTTACGTTTGGTACACAAGTAGTTACAAGTTAGGTTTCAAAAATAATTTTATTGGCAGGTCTTCTGCATTCTAAAGTATATTTAGTTAAGATTCGATAAATCATAGACCAATCCAGTCACCGTGTATGTTTTTCTAAAAAATGAAGATTGCAAAAGTAATGTGGAAAACGCACCCAAAAGTGAATATCGTTAGGTTCTTTAAATATTTAAAGAAAATCAGCCATCGGAAACAATTTTTCCAAATGGGGCAACTCCTTTGCAACATTATGTCTATGAAGTTGAACGGATAATGTTTTAATCGTCCTACAAATCTGGCCTTCAGCTGGGAAAAAAATTTGCAACAAGGGCCGATTAAATTCTGACTTGTCTTCATAACTAAAATGCTCTAACACTGGGAATTTTTCAGAGTACAGAAAGGTTTCAATTTTGGGGGAATGCAAGTTAAATTGAATTTCCAATTTTCTCAATTTCGAGAAACGTGGCAACACCAGGCTACACGCAGCAGATGTAAGTTGGAACTCCAGTTCTTGCAAGGTTTCCTTACTCTTGTCCAAAAAACCTTCGAATCTTTCCACATCGTCGCGACGCTCAAGTAGCACGTGACCTATTCGTATATTTCTCCATTTGCTCCCCAAATTCGCGAATAAAATCAATTTCGGGCCAAAACCATGATTCGAAAGGATGTTCAGGCTGTGCAAGTTTGGGGACCAATTTTTTCCCTGCAGTGCGATACCTTTTAGCGGGTCCGGTATATACTTGCAGTCGTAATCATAGTCGCTTATTTTCAGGGATAATCTTTCCAAATTTGGAAAATAATGGATCATTTGGTTAGCAATAGGAATCGACCACGAGTCTGAGAAGCCATAAAAGGAAAAAAATAAATCTTTAATTTGACAGAATGGAGGCTCATCTTTTGGAAAAAGGTCGTCCAATTCTGATGTGTGTATGTGAACAGAAGTCAAATTTGGTGAGTGTTCTAGCCAGATTTTTAAATTTCGTGTTGAATTGGTAGACAAATTCCTGACTTGAAGTCCAAATTTCTTTAAGAACAGTAGTAAAGTGGAACTGTTCGGTTCTGCGTCCATAACACAATGGACATTTTGACAAACAAATGAGCGACGCAAGTAATCGGAAAACCTTGCTTTCTTTGTTTTCCTGTTGTGTTGGAGTTCATCAGGCCAAAAAACTATTTTTGTAATGGCTCTACTTTTCAGCTGACGGGTTGCTTCGTCTGACCAGTATTTATTCACGAGACGGCACGATTTGAGGGACGGTATGTCCAGGAAGGTCATTATTTTGGATAATATCTAAAATAATGAGGATATTTGTATATATTTATCTTCAAATTTAGGGGCCGTCCATAAATTACGTAACGCAAGAAGGGGAGGAGGGTCTAAGGTTCCAATGATATCGGGCCTACATACATATGTTACTAAAAAGCGGAGGGATAGTCTAGAAAATCGCTACATACGTTGGAGTTATTTATTGACGTAATTTATTGACGGCCCTCTCACTGAAAACTTGTAATTTGTGCTTCGACAAGTTTAAAATTTTAACAAATAGTAAAATTTTGAATATTACGTCCTACTCAATGAAAAGTAATACTTAACTATGAAAAACATTTGTAAAACTTACGTAAGGATTACTCACAACAGAGTTCATACTGTTGCCGCAGATTTCCACGTCGTGTAGCCCTTGTTCGGCAGCTCCTAAGCACTTTTGCTTGGTCGATTTATTCCCCATGTCGTCAGTTACATAGGATATATCTAGGAGTTAAAAACAAAAATTAAGGTATAGTAAACGGACGACATGGATAATGATTATGACAATAGAATTAGTTGTCTTATTGTTTAAAGTTTCGACAATTGTCGTCATCAGATAGACGTACATAAATAGATGGAGGAAAAAGTTTTTCAATTTTTACTTACGTGGAGATACTTTCACCGGCGAAAAAATTGTCGCAATTTATGGCGTAATAGAGTGATGGGAATTTATTGAAGTATAAGCTTACCGTACGGTTTATTTTATTTTAATGGCCCTTCGTTAAAAAATATAACTGCAAAATCACCTCTTGTCAGTCATAGGTTGGCATTTCTGTGTAAGCTTAGGCGTGATAAATACGCATCTATATTACGGGTCCCAATTTTTATCATGAACTGCTAAGCTGATAATCCTTGTAATCTAAATCCTATTGCCGTTCATGGTGGTTGCGTGCACGTTTGTACGTAAATATAATAAGGTGCACCCTACCTGGAATGAAACCATCGATCCAAAATGTCCTGCAGTAATGAGGTGCACATTTAAACAATTGTAATTTGATCAAAATTACCGTAGATCGGCAATATACGTAAATACAAATATTTTCAAACCCCCACCATTTCATACATTATAGACTGGCAATAATGGAGATCCGGTTAATTTTTAGGCTAGGCATAATTTGAAGCATTTTACTTCTGAGTTCTGGCATTAAACCTATAATTAGAGACCCGATTATTAAATCTTTCCTCATGACCCGGCTATAAATGGAGTATCTACCGCAAATATACAATAATAAGTACATTTATTTAAAACCTAGCGTATTATTTGTGTAGTTTGTATAGGCGTCAGAGGACATATCCGTATGTATTGATTGAAACTTATATTTACACATTTAACCAACTATCAAAATAAAATCTATTCATTTCTATTATTTGAAACGTCGTCAAAGGAGATATTGAACGAGAATTATTCATTACGTATCATGCAAGCTTTCGAATAAACATACAGTTATTTTTTCTAGGGCTAAGTTTAAGGTATTATGTTAAATGAAATGGAGAGAATAAATTTGATTGTGTAATTCTACATTTACATAATTTCCCGCTTCGCATAATTAGTAGTTGCTATGTAATTGACAATCAAGGAATTTATGTGTGTAACGTCCTCTAACTGACTTTACATAATTCAATGGCTTACTCGGATGTTTAATAGCAAAGTATGTCAAGGATTACATATCTACATAGCAAATGCAGGGGTGGCTAAGTTATTTTAAGCTTGTCCATCCATCATGTGGGGCGATGAAGCTGCTCTCGTCTTCAAACGGTGTATCCTCTCAATTCGACTATGTTCCTGTTTAAATTCGTATTTTTTAGAGTGGAACGGAAAAACTGGGAGTGCTTATCCCGCCAGTCGTTGGCACCAGATATCCTACCAGATTCATACCCTCGTCTGTACATTTGTCATACAACCGATCCTATGCATAAGGTGTTATCAGCTACGTGGAGAACTAAATTCTGACCCGGGTCATGTCTGTATAGCCTACGTTATAGCTGCGCTACTCGCAGTGGCGCTACCTTTCATGTGGTATTTCGTGTGGAGAGAGAGATCTTATGAATTCATTGAATCGTATGAATCGGTTTCAGACGTACATAAATTCATGGAAGGTAATCAAGAATGAATAATAGAACTAAAATATGCTCAATGTTATAATTTGTTATAATTATGTATAACATGTGTATACGTATTTAGATTTACATGAAATCTATTTTCAGAACTCTCCCCCAGAAACAAGAAATTCAAGTTACAACTCATCGAGACTAATTTCGCTGATCTCTGCGCCCAATCAATCACCTACGGAATTCCTGTCATTATCTCTTTCGTTTGCATATTCTGTTACGACTTCAACCCAGTTTACACCTTCCTACGAGACGCAACTAATTTCGAGTCGACCATTTTCAAAGTATCTTTGTACACTGGAACCGCCATCTTTTCCTGCATCAGCCTAACTGTTGCCCTCTTGATTAATGCCATCGGGTTGTTCGCAGTGGCCAATGGTATCATCGTGTTATACATGTGGAGCCTTCGTTTTCACGAGTTGCTCCTTGACCTTCGGTTTGACGAGTTGGTAAAAATGTACAAAAATCTGCGCGTCATGTGCATAATTCAGGAAGGTTTGGCGCGCGACTTGATCGCGCCATGTTTGCATCATTTCATCCTGGTGACCGAGGCGACGGCTGCGTTGCACTATTTTTTAAGGCAATTCATGCCAGGCGGGCAGGTCTCCTATTTGGCTTCGGTCGTTGCCGTGGTCCTGATTGGACTTGGTTTTGTTTATGAAACTTTCGCTATTCGGTTCGTAGCGGACGCCGGGAGCGCGGGAAAGAGGTTGAAAAGAGAGATGATCACGAGATATGGGTCGACTAGGTATAAGAGAAAAGTGCTTGGGACACTTTTGCCGAATTGTATTAATCTTGAATTTATCAGTTCCGTGGACACGATCCATAATGGGATTGGGATGGATTATTTTATCCGATATGTGGAGAGGGTGGTTAATCAGACGTTGGGGTTGTTGTTGACGGTGGATTAAGAAGGGTAGATAAGAGAATTTCGTTGTCGTTATTGTTAGAATTATGTGCGATTTTATTTTAAAAAATCGGAATATTTGTAGTGTTTATCAAAACACATTTGTGGGAACTGTATGATTTCATACCAAGGTTGAGCTTCATACATGTTGCCAAATCAAGCAGATTTGCGTAATGATTTTTGCTCTCTGTAATTATATCGAGGATTTTTAAAAATATGGTACTCATTGAATACCTCATTAAAAAGCTTTACATAAGTTTTGGAATTTGGTAGCAAGAAGGTTAATTTGACCTCACGGTCGCATTAATGAGCTTCTCGATTAAAATATTTAATAAGTATGTATGTATGTCGATACTATTAAAAATAATAATTTGGCGAAATAAAGAAGCTGACATTTCCTGGTTAATTTGTGAAAACTATCAGCCTGTATTCATTTATAAACATATCTACCTAAATATGTAAATACGTATGTATGTATACAACTTTAAGTAATAATATTTGCAATAACATGTTCAGTGACGTTTCATAAATAATTATACGTTAAAACCTTGCACTACAAAAAAATTAGCGTTAAATTCATACATACATACAAAAATTAACCTCGATCTCCGGAGTTAAATTACTTAAACTATTTACATTACTATTTAAATACATAATTACTTAAATAACTTATACTTATGTAAATATATCAACTTGACTTATATCGTACCTTAGGATTTAAACATTACAAAATGTCAGGTCACAAAAGTTTGCATTATCAATAAAATAAAGTAATAAATGTCGCATATAAAGATTTTCAATTAGTATTAACGAAATATCACGTCCTTCTAAAAAGTCGTATTTTACATACATGTCACGAGAAATGTATTATTAACAAAGTCCAACATCCCCACTTGGCATTTCTCCACTGCGACTCGCATCTTCTAATTGAGTTGGTAAAACATCGCCTGAACTTTTTTGAGTAATTTCGCCTTTGCGTTTCTTTTCATATAATTTTTTCTTCTGAAGGTATTTAATTCTTTTGGATGGCTCCACGGTCAGGCGACAAAGGAAATTCTGATGTTTGCGCAAATATTCCTCGTGACCGTAGGATTTTCCGCATTTGCAGACGTGCGGTTTCACCTCCGAGTGGGTGGTGTAATGTCTGCAAGAATAAGTTAAACAACAATACTTAAAATGCGTGTTATGTATGAATAAATATTCAATAATTTCAAATTAATCAGTGCCCGGTAGCGCAAGTTGCAATTCAATACAAGAATATTTATAAGCTGGTTAAATCAGAATTTCGAATTTTAACACACTTTCAAGACCATATGTAAATTAGCAAACGGGCCAATTAAGTATTTTGACAAGATTGTTGTACTTTTATATTTTCAAATTTCCAATAGTAAATACGACAAATTGTGCAATTCTTTATCAGGTTAAAGAATGCAATGGGCGTACTCACGCCAACTTTCATTTCCCCTTGCGAACTAATAGGATGCAAATTTCCTATGTAAATCTAGGAACAAATATGTTCTTAGGTGTCCAACAAATATTTTGCGAAATATTTCAAATTTAGCAAAAGTATGTAACAAAATAAATATACTCCATTTGCGAGACGTTGTCGTTTCTAATATGCCCAATATTTCGCTAAAACACTATTCAAAATAGAAGACAATAGAATATGAAAATGAATAAAAAAAAAACTACATACATATCGTGTCCAGAAAACAATTCATATGTATAAAAATGGTAATAACTTATTTGCATATTAAATATGTACCTTCGTAGATCGTACAAATACGTGAAACTTTTGTCACACTGGTCACAATCGTGGAACGTAATATTCATCTCGTCCAGTTCTTCCTGGGTGTAAACCACGTTGCAAATCTTGATCTCATGAATGACCCGTTGAGCGGATGTGGTCAGTATTTTTGCACACTTTGAACAAGGGAAAGATCCTCTTATACGGTTCATGGCCATTTTCCTACTAATTTTCTCGCGAATTTTGCAAACTTTAATTTCATGTCGGTGCATTAGACCTCTCGTGTCGAATATTCTGCCACATTTTGCACATGGAAAAATACCAGGTTTGGGTGGGGGGCGAATTTTACAAACTTGAATTTCATGTCGTTGAACGTGATCCTTCTTGGTGAACGTTTTACCACATTTTGCGCAAGACATGTTATTATGGGCAGGATCAGTTCTGAAATTTTGAAATGAAATTATGGTAAGAATTGTGATTTTTTAAATGCAAAAAGGCGCAAAATCTTACTTTTTGACGTCAAGTGGAGAAGCCTGGTGCTCCAAAGTGTCAATTGTCATCGGCATTATTACTTCCTCAATCATTTCGTCGTTAGACAAATTAGTTTCTGAGAACACTTCGACGTCTTCGAACACGAAATCATGTTCACTTTCTTCCTTGATTTGTGGAAACATTTGGATTTTGTTCTGCCCAAAAAAGCTTGGCGATTCGTACTCGATTGAACTTTTTTTCATGATTTTATTGTGTCCACCTGAAAATACAATGTCATGAAAGATGAATTATTTATATTTCTGGTACTTAAACAAACTTTAATCATGGATATTAATGCATAAATAGGAATGATGACTAAAAATAGTAAATTATGATTTCTTTTTTACTTTGTGACATTCGTTTCCCATTTTTTAAATGAACAATTTTCGCTCGACCTTCTTCTAATCTGTTTTCCAAATCTGTCTCCAATTTTGTAATCTGTTCCTGCAAGGCGTAAACTTCCTGAATGACGAATAGGCAATCCGCGCAGGATTCGACACTGGACATGAATTTATTGTAGCTCGGAGGCGAAATCTTTTTACGGAAGGTCGCATTAATTAGCAGGTGTCGAAATACGGATACTTTTTCTTCATAAAGGCGACGAGGTAAACATTCCGATGGAAGACGGTCCTTGGATTTAGCCCCGCAAAGAAAACAGGGGGAATTTGTGCTGACCTTAAACTGTGACCGGACGAGATAATCGAGGGCGACGTTGCGTTTTATTAGGACGAAGGGTAAATTTTGAGAAGGTAATAATTCCATCCTGAAATTTATAAAAATGTATTGCAATGTAAGTAATTATCGCAAAATTTATTTAAATGGAAATTTAAGAAAAAAAGAGGTACAAAAGTAAATAAGTTACTTTGAAGAATGTATTTACTTAGAATTTGATGACTTGTACATAACAAGTTCTAAATTGTTGACGAAGGTATTCGTATGTCGTACATATATTTGTACGTCCTTTTAATTTACTTGAAATAAGGAATTTTTCTTTTAAAAGTGAACAAAAACTAAACTTGTCTGGTGTTTGTTTTTGGAAAATTCAGGTGGATGGATTTGAGTTGGGTCCCGGTTTGCTCCTCAGTCATTAGTGAGACTACTATACTTGAAGTGAGTTAGTTATGTGCTGTGCGAATGGAGCTAAACTCACGAGAAACCCTAGTCTCAGCACAAGGTACTTCAGGAGGCCGTAGGTTTAAGCTCCACCCGCACAGTACATAACTCGTTCACTTTATGTATAATGTACATAAGTATGCACACTATTATTCGTTGGGGTTTCTCATGATCATATCTCATACATTTACTGACAAACCAATTTGAAATTTGGCACGTTATCACATTTGTGGGAAGATAAGACTCCAAATTTGAAACAGCTTCGATAAGGTCAAAAGTTATGATTTTTTTACCTAAATCTCCAAAAGTCAGGTACATCAAAGAAATTTTTTCCTTAGTGGTTCTATTTTTGTAAAGTTGGGGCAACTCATCCTGAGCATTTTGATGTGTTGCACCTCTGTGTGATGTTTTTTACGCCCACAGTGATTTTTTGAAAAGTATACTTTTGAAAAGTTATAACATTGGGCTTCAGAATTAAGTGGCATTCGGAATGCCAGTGCCATGCACCCAAAATTATTTTCCATGTACTGCTTGGCCTGAAAATATTGACGCGTCAATCGTTCCAATATTAAAATTTGTCAGTTTTTTTATATACAAGGTAAATTTTGAAAATATAGCCGATTTTGGTAATCTAGGCAGTTGAAAAATCGCAAATTCCTAAATGCTTTCGAGGTTTGCTACCATACGAAAATTTTTATTCAAATTCATTCCCTCCCTACTAATTCCAACTCTTTACTGGTCCATCCTTTCAATAAATATTTATTTCTTTGGCGATGTAAAAACCAAGCTATCACCTACCCGGAGTATAGTGTCTTTACGAATATTTAATTGTGCTTTGCTCGTTGGAATTAAAGAAAGTGACTGAGTGAATATACGATTATTTTATCTACTTAAACTAGATTTTATTTAAATCAATTAAACGATGGTCAACACAATTCAGAGCTCTGCAACAACACGAGTTGATTGATGACTTACTTTAATTATAAATTGATCGTATAGTCCGAGAGCAAGATCCCCTTGGCTTTCAACTCTTGAATCCATGGACCATTTTGAACTCTTGGCACTATCCCTCCAATAATTGGCTTCTCTCTCAAAACCACTTTGACTTGATTTCTTCCGTACAGACTTCTGAGCAAAATGTGATGCTTATAAACTTGCCCAACATCAGTAACGGAACCATCGAACAGCACATTTCTGGAGAATTCTGATCCCATTGGCTTGCTTCTGATGGCTTTTGCAGTGCTGTAGGTTATGTAACTTCTTTGACTTCCTTCGTCAAAAAGCAGCCTGACAACACGATCTTCTTTCTTTTCTTGACAGCCGACTTTCACTAGCACTGTCTTCAACAAAACATCACTCTGGCATTGGATGTTTGTTTGAGCTGCATCGGTGGAAATAAACGTGTACGAGTTGTCCTGTTGATCATCCTTCTCGACTTGAGAACACATTACTTCATGATGATTACTCTTGCACACACGACATGACACCGACGCTTTACACTTCTTCGCAATATGACCCCTTCCTAGGCAGATGAAGCATCCCTCATTTTCTTTAACCAGGATCTTCTTCTCCTCGAGTGGCATCTTCTGCGCTTTGAAACACTTCTGGCTTTTGTGGTTAGATTTTCCACAAAAAACACACTGTTCAACTTGTTGACCTGAATAAAGACCGGCAGCAGTGGGGAATTCTTCATTCTTCTCCAATTGACCCTTCTTCTTGTTCTTTTCCTTTCCCTTGATGGCTGCATCGAAACCGGATCGCACCAGCTTTCTATTCTCCTCGCCCTCCACTTCTTCTCGAAGAAACTCCATTAGAAAATCCAATTCATTTTTCTTCGGGTTAAGCTGTGACCCATCTTGTTTACGAAGAGGACTTCTTTGCCAAACGAGTAGGATTTCTTTTAGGAGGCAGGATTCCACCATAGGAAACAGGAACTGGGTCGACTGCTCCGCCTTAATTCCTAAAGACTCCAATGCCCTTAATTGAGTCTCAATGTCATCATAAAGTTTGGAGAGCACGACTACTTCCTTTGATTTTGCGGTTGTGATAACCAGCCGAAGTAGCTCTCTCACATACACTTGCTGAAGGAACTTCTCTTTCCCAAATCTTTCCTTCAAAGCGGTGATGGCCTTTGGGTAGTTTTCTGTCGTCATTGGGAAGCTTTCGACCAGTCCACGTGCCCTTGACCCAGATACCGTACTCTGTAGTAGGTACTGAAATTTGTCACTTGCATGGAGCTCTTCATCTTCGTCGATCTTCTTAAACTGCGACCACCATCCCAACCATTCCTTTGTATCGCCGCTGAATTTCTGAAGTTGAATCTTGGGAAGTTTAAAAGTCATATTTCTTCTTACACGTTCACCGTTCGCTGTGGTATAACTGCTGGCAGGACTTGGGCTTAGTGGACGGATTTCTGCATCAAGAACCTTTTCAATTTTCAAAATAGCTGCACTAATTTTGTCTGAATATTCTTCATTTGCTGCACTTTCTTCCGTATAAGCCTCCGCCGTACAGTTATCATCCAACATCTGGGTGAGCACTTTTTCATCATGTTCTCTGATCGTCGTCTGCAGAGATTGCAATTTTCTGAGCCTGATGGTAAGTTCCATTGTATATCCTTTGGATCCTTCGCCAACTCAGCAACTGCTCCATCAATTGTTTTTGTAATCGAAGCTCGAACAGGAGTCCTCGCCTTCTTCAGTCGATCCATGTTGATATCTCGAAGTCAACAAACAAAAACAATTAGAACAGTACACGTTAATCAACTCAATCAGCAACAACGTCGACCTCTATGGCTCCCGAACGCTCAGGATGGGGCCCTCAAAAGAGGCAAGACAGTAATTTAGTAATAGACGAATAAAGTTGAAGTTCCTCTCGGGTCGGACACGCCGATTTCAATCTGGTCGGTCACTCCTTCCTCACGGACTACTTCACAGCAACAATAAAAACTTGAAAGGTATCACCTGAATAGCCCCCGAATACTCAGGGTCGGGTCCTCAATGAGGCAAGGCTTGATGTGAATCCTCTCCTTCGAATCTGCTCCTCGTCCAGACAGCAACAATCGCCCAGGATTTCCACGGAACACTTTTTGCACGTACACTAATTCAATCTGCTCCCCTTCCAGACAGCAACAATAGCACAGGATTTCCACGGAACAGTCTTTTGCACGCACAACTAATTCACTCAAAAGGTCACAACTCACTGACCAAGATTAACTAGTCCACTTTCAACTAAAACTGACCCAACGAGCAATCACGTCGAGGTCACCACTAATGTAAAAACCAAGCTATCACCTACCCGGAGTATAGTGTCTTTAAGAATATTTAATTGTGCTTTGCTCGTTGGAATTAAAGAAAGTGACTGAGTGAATATACGATTATTTTATCTACTTAAACTAGATTTTATTTAAATCAATTAAACGATGGTCAACACAATTTAGAGCTCTGCAACAACACGAGTTGATTGATGACTTACTTTAATTATAAATTGATCGTGGGCAACAAAAAAGAACTAACAATTCATAAATTTGACTGCCTACCACGACGACTAAATCCAGAATGTCTGACTCTGACAACGACTAAAACTCGACTGTGTGGACTTTTTCCACCTTACTTACTACGACTTAACAAAGAGAGACGCGCACCCAAAAATCCCACCCCCGTCGTCTCCATGGCAACCACCACCACGACAGGGGGCAATTGTAGACGCGTAATCAATAAATTTCATACATAAACTTATTTTACATTTAACAGGCGATATTCTGAAGAAACAAGTTTCATAACGTTTATACAACAATTTACATTACAAATAAGATCTTATATCACGATTTAGCCTAAAAATTGAAACTTTCGACGCCCGGAATAAATTGAAACGTTACTTATTTAGTTCCAAATTAACCTTGGTTCAACAATAATCCAAGAAAGTCAATTGATGCCGATCTACAGATTGACCGTTTGAACCCCCTGCCTGACTCATAGGAATAAATGACGCACTTCTAGAAAAATTTACGTAAAACCGCTGTCGATAATAACTTATCTGTAATTAATTGTCCCAGTAATTGATGACAGTTCTTATATTTTCTCAAAATGCTTTCATATTGCCATTCATTATTTACATTATGTAAATCTGCATTATTAATTGACATATAACACACGTAAATACGTATGCATGTATAATGCACAAATGCAAATTTATTCGCGATAAAAACCAATCAGTTTGACACTTTATGCTCATTTAAGCCTCTGACTTTGTACATACAAATGTACCGATTCACATGGTCGCATATTTTTTTAAAAAGTTATGAATTTGGGTATCCCAGCCGGTGTTTTCTTCGGAATAACGGCTCTCATTCTATTCCTCAAGGTAATACTAAATAGTTTGGCACATTTTTTAGCAAAAAAATGCATACATTAGTAATTGATTTAACAAAAAAGCATTATTTTGCAGTGCATGGTGTGCATGCGAAAGAAAGAAAAGGACGACAAGTCATTATCCACTCCTGCCAACGGTGTTTACGTTATCGATGTGTCCCAGGAAAATGATCTGACAAAAAATGATTATTGCGACCCAAATTCAGATTTTGGTTTGATAAATGATTACGACGAATCTCTATTTGAAGATACTTTCTCTCGTGAGGAACGCGACGCCTATGTCGAAATGGCTACGGTCCCAGCACTCGCCGTGGTGGGAGACACCTTAACGGACCCGGACTGCTTTCTAGATCTGTGTCAATGTGTGGTAGATATATGTGAATTTCTTAATTAAGTACTATGGAAATATACATAAATCTCATCCTATACAAAAAATATTTTACGTACTTGTGTATGTATATAAGTAAATATATTTGTATATTAAAATCTTGAAGTGGCACTTTGGAATTGTCCGATCTCATGTCCATACTATATGTATACATATGTATGCATATATTGTAAATAGTTCACTATCGTAAATCGTGTTAGAAAATTAAATACTTCTACATCTACTGCTTACATAATTATTTTAGCCAAATCTGTAACTCATAAATATGTGTATGTATTTATGTACATATGGTAAATATTCATATGTACAAATAAAGGTAGGTATATGAAATGTGCAATTGTTGATTTTGCAAAAGTGTTTTTGACGGCCAAAGTTACTAAATACGCTCAGAATTAGTACATGCATACATACCTTGGTTTTATTAAATTCATCCTCTTTTCGTTATTTATAAATTTGCCTTTACGGAGCGTAACTTTTACAAAATATATGCATAGCTGACTGATGGCTGACGAGATGTTTGTATTCTAGAAAAATCTTTGAGTCTCAAATTGAGACTCTCAATTCATCGCAAATAGTTGTGCTGGAATGAAATATTGGATAGTCTTATTTAGTCATTTAAGATTATTTTTATAAATAATTAGCACATCCATACACAAGTTAGGTATGCAATCAGGTTAAAATGCGAAGTTACAGATGCCCTAGATACATATATCTACATATGTTCATATATGCATATATGCAGTTAATATATATGCACGTACATACATACATTGTATTGTATATTATATAATGGGCTTATCAACTTGTACCGGATGTACATACATACTTGAGCCGGCGAACATTACGCAAAAATTGATATCAGTTACATACTTCTGTATGTAAATATGCACTTGACCATTCAATATGCGTAGTTGGACCTACCAATTTCTGCACTTAAACGTTAAACAATGAGAATAATACAGGCAGAGACAGATTGTCTAATTAAAGTAACGAGAGAACCAACGAGGCACAAGGATGAAGTGATTTTCTCGGATTACCAATCATCAGACCAGTTTTAATTTTCCTGTGCATTCAAAAACATGTCGACATCAGTGTAAATACGATTGACACATATTTTCGTTTTTCATAAGCCCTATGACTAGTGATTACTACAAACGTTACCATACACCATACGTTAAAAGTTTGGCAGAATTGATTAATGTTGTACATGTAAATATTTTTGTAGATGCATTTTGACGATATATAACATTGAAGCAAAGAGTTTTTTAATTTCGTGAATACGTGCCCTGCATATTTATAATGTGGCTATGATATTTACATTCTAAAAGCTAAGGTGCTCTGAAACCTTGTTACTCGCGGGCAAATATTGGAAATTAAAATTTTTGATAATTTGCTCCCTGTGCTAGGGAAGAAGTTAGAATTTGTCCCGCAAAAATCCGAGAAAGTCAGTTGAAACCGGCCCCTTCTACATATGTACGTTTGATTTGGCTGACTCATTTGAGTTTTGAAATGACGCATATTATTAACGTTTACCCAGCCTGATCAAATATTGGTAATTGTAATTTCTCTTAATTGAATTGATTACTGTTTTTTTTGTTCTTGCTCAACCTGATCATTGCGATTTGATACATGTGTAAATACGTATCTAGGTTATCGGGGTAACCGGGTATGATACGAGGAACAATTTCTCGATAAAAACCAACTAAATGTACACATACGCTTTTATTAATTTCCAAATTATTCACATCACCATAAAAAGCAAATAATGGACTATGAAATTTTATCCCTTGTTCTTGGTGGAATTGCTCTTATAATCGCTTGCCTCAAGGTAATTTACATACATACATATTTTACTAATTTTTTAGCACTTGCATGGGTAAATAAGTCAAAAAATATTTTCCCATCAGTGTTTTTGCTGTATTAGAAATTGTAATCGCAAAGAAGATGATTTGAATCCTTCGGACAATGTGTACCTCGTAAATTTCTCTCCAGAAACTTATGTTCATCCAAATCCAGATTCTGGCCTGATAAATGATCACGATCATAAATTTCTATTTGAAAATTTGTTCCTTCGTGATGACACTATTAGAGAAGATGACATCGTTCTCATGCTGGCTCTCAGCGTCATGATGGATGACACCGTCGTGGAGACGATAGACCCCGAATGTTTTCTAGGTTTCTGTGGAGATGTGATAGATATATGTGATTGTGTAGTAAGTATATTGGAGTGTGTAAATGTGTAACATGCAAATGCATAGAATTTTGTATGCGTATTTATTTATAAGGTCAGGGAAATTTTATTCGAATGGCTACAGATTTTTTTTGTAGAATACATTTTTTAAAAGTTTATGATAATAAAACATGTGCGTATGTACATATTTGTATGGATTTTTAATATTTTCACAATTTTTTACTGATAGTTGAAGAGTTTTTCGTTGTGAATACCCATAGACCTGGCTACATAATAATATTATACATACCTAACATAATGTTAATTAATGTTATACCGCTCGACTGATTTTGTGGAAAGATGTAATATACGTAATATACGTACAATATTCGTACATATTATGTACGTATTTATCTATGAAGCTAGCCTTTATATGCATGATTTTCAGAAATTCTCAAAAGAATTTAAACTTGGCACAGAGATCCCTAAATGCTTCTCATTAAAGTAAATCAAGTTAAATGTGAATAAAAATAGAAAACGTAGCCGAGAAAACCCTATGGGGTGATCTATCCTTGCAAATTATATCAACAGCTAAAATCTGGATTTGACATGAATTATTTATAGCATAATGAATGTGCACATCTTTGCTTAATTGTACTCACATGCATAAATACTTATAAATACAGATTATGTATATATGTATTGCACAAACAAAAAGACGATGCGATAAGTATGCTTATTATGAAATTACTTAATCACTTATAAATGTTGAGGTAGGCTTTTCTAACTACATATATTTATATAAACGCTCATATTCATAATATTATCTAACAGAAAAGTACCAATGTGTGCATCCACCTGGGAGATATCACTGTTTAATATTGTTATGCATAAGTCTGAATCCATTCATTTAAGCAGACAGATGACCATGAAAATAATCTGATACATGGATACTCCTTGGAGCGTGAATTTAATTATATTCAAATTTAAAACCTTAATTAAGTTGATATTCACATAAATATGTAACTGGACTTCCCTACCTCAAAGTTCCCAAGTCTAGCCAAAATTTCAGACGGTTTCAATTAGTTTGTATTTCCTACCCGTGCACTCACCTTCCAAGTAGTTACAAGTCTTTCAGGCAAAATTTAATCAGCCCAAAATGTATAAGCAATTAAGAAACTTTTTCTTATTTCTCGTCTCAATTTTTACAGTGATTTTCATTATTCCATTGATCTTGCTCTTTGTAATATTTCCATTAATTTTATACCGGAAAGTTATCATACTTCTAGCCTCGTGGAAAAATGATCTCTACCTTCCGCTCAATATCTGCAGTAGCTCGTTTGCTTGGGATGACATGTACGTAAAACCAATGTGCACCCTTTGTCCAGTAACAAAATAGAAACAAGCTGCTGAACAAATTGGTCTTTAAAAATTTTTAAATAGATTCCCAGAGCCTTGGAATTATTAAACATTTGATTTTGGGGATGAGTTATACATTTTTCATAAAAATTCTGCTTGTCACGTAGCATCCCGAACTAACATGCACTTTGCACTCTTGGATGTCAACTTTATTCTGGAAGAAATCCTCCACCTTCCAACTTTCCCAACATGTCATAACAAACGGAGAATCCGACCCGGAAAAAGTTCAGCAATATTTGGACTCCCTGCCGGAAAAACCATTCGCCAAAGGCGCCCCGTTATGGGAATGCATTTCCCTGCCAAATTATTCCAGTAGTAAATATCACACAAAATCTGCAGTAGTTTGGCGATTTCATCACACTTTGGGCGACGGTTTGGCAGTTTTCTCCCTTTTGAACGATTTTTTTGATAATAACGATTCCGGAAAGGAGATAAAATATAGGGAAAATTTCAAAAATCTGAAACCCTCCAAGTGGACGTGGAACATTTGGACTTTCTTCCAATTAATCTTCGTCACTCCGATGGAATCAGTATTCCGACTTTTGAAAGGGTTTGACTCCAATCCTCTCACAATCCGGGGGCACGAGCGGAATGGGGAAATGGTCCGGTGTCAAAATCTGGTCGCCATGAATATCGCTAACCTTAAGCGGATTTCCCGAAATGCCGGGTCAAATATCACGTCCGTCTTGTCTGCCGGTGTGGCTGGTGCTGTGGGAAGAATTATTGAGAAAAGAGGAGGAAATTTAAGCCAGGATGCGACATCACTTTATATCTTACCCAGTCTTTCCAGTCATCCGGGGACCATGATGAATAATATGTAAGTAGAAACATTTGAATGTAAGTACATATGTAGGATTGTATTAAACACGAAATTATTTGTCGAACTGTTACGAGCAGCCTGCTAGAAATCTGGCATAGTCATGCCGGTTTTGACTTTTTGAATTTTTTTACCAATAAAAAAAGACTGAAATATTTTGCACACATTTTTCAAAAATGCACAAGTTGTGTAATGATTTTTTTTGCTTAAAGAAAGTAAACTAAAAAAGTTCGGATCATTATACTGAGGGTTAGGCAAGATTATAGAACGTGTAGCTATTTGCCCATATACGCTAAACAATGGCGCTAATTCCAAATATTTGAAACTTTTCTGGAAGCTTGGTTCAAGCTGCGCCGTGACCCAAAAGCTCAATTTCGAAATTTTGTAAACGATTCCAAAAATGGACCCCAAAGAGCTCCATGCTGTTAAAACAGTTTGCCAAGCAATAATGACTAAACCAACTCCAGCATGAAAAAATTATCATTTCTAATGGCCCAATGTCTAAAATAAAGGATTCAGTTGAAAAAAGGAACCAGGCAAGAAATTTGATGGTGCCACATTCGTCGAAGGCATGTCCCCCGAACTGTAAGAAACCCGACGCTCGTGAGAAAAATTGATGTTGACAAGGCAATAATGTTTTTATCAATACAAAATCAACTGGCCACGAAGTCTCAGATCCCTGGGCGTACACTGAACTGAATTAATCATCAAGATATGCACAACGTCAGCGAGAATCAGGAGATATGAGGTTGTCACGAAACTTTTTTTCTGACAGCGCTCGGATTACCGCCCAGTACGCAGCCATTCTTTTTTTCATATTCGGAATTTAAATTATTTT